ATTATTAGATCAGTAATTAAGTTTAATGTGTTAATTATTGTTTAAAACAAAAGCCCCAAATTAAAATAACAATACCCCAATTTTTTTTTCTCTCCTCCTTTCTTCGGCCATTTTCTTTGTTTGTGTTGCTCCTATCCCTATTTCAACCTACGAAGGCATAATTCAACACAAAATTGAAACAAAGTCAAACCTAACAACACATAATAATCCATTCATACAAAACATAATTCTTAAATTAAAAAAAAAAAAAAAAAGTAAATGGCTGCAAACTTAGTACGCTAGATTCACAATTCCACTTAAAATAACCAAACTTTCATCAATGTTTAATGAATTAAAAAATGTAAACTAAAATGACAAAACTCAATCCTTAAAGCTTACCAGTTAAGTGCTCCAAGCAGAATCTAATTATCAGCTTCAAAAAAAATTGTTCGTCTTCCTAATTTGGTAAAAATAGCACACTAATTTACAATAATCTACCATTGATTTCAAATCTCTACCAAAAGATGATGATGAAGGATGGGAAAAATAAGCAATGAAAAGGAAACAGAAGACGAAACAACAAAGAAGATGACTGGCTGAAGAAAGGATCGGAGGAGAGAGAAAAAATTGGGGTTTTGTTATTTTAATTTCGTGCTTTTTTTTTTTTTAAAAAAAAATTAACTCATGAAACTTTACTGTTTTAATAATCCGTTTTAATATACGTTTTCTAGTGTTTTTGTATGGTTGGTGTTATTTTGTAGGAATTTGCAGATTTATGATAATTCCGAGCTTATTGAGCCACTATGAAGACATTGGAGTCAAATCGTATTTTATGACCGTATATTTAAAGCCCAAGACTGAGTTAAAGAAATTTAGTTCGGTGATTAAGGGCTCGATATATAAAGAGGTCCAAGATTTACAAGTTATTATTACGGAACAATGAAGGAAAGATTTTGGGTCCAAGCTTGAGAAGCCCAATCCCAAGAGAGCCGCCCAAGCAAGCCACGAGTTCTGCTGGGCGTGATTTTGCCGGGCCCAATTGGGTGAGCATCATCTGGGCCTTGGGATACGCATCATTGCTGGGCTGATTGTGGGATTTTGTTTACTAGATTTCTATTGGCAGCTTTTTCACTAATTTGAGTTCAATTAGGATTCTTGTTAGTTGACTTTTAAAAGATTCGTAATCCTTATAAAATGAATGGAGTAGTACGTAGGGGGGGGGGGGAATCTTTTATGCTTTTTAGTTTTCTTATGTTGAGATTAGATTAGTTTTCTTTTTGTTTTATTCGACTACTCATGTTTAATGTTATTATTGTTTTGTTTTCTTTTTAGTTTTAATATTATTTTTACTCTAATTTAATTCTTGTTTTTATTATGAATTGTTTTTTTTGTTTTGCTTAGTTTAAATTTAATTATGCACGTGTAGTTTAATACTAGAGTTCTTGGGGATCCATGAATAATATGAAGGGATGAATTGTTATTGTTGATTGTTAATGTTTTGGGTTAATTTCCTATTGATTGTCATAATGCTATGCAATTAGATTAGTGCTGATTTAATTGTATGAGTTACGCAATATTGATTCGAGATTCGAGAGATGACAATTGATGTATAGACTTAGTTTCAATAGGCAGGTTAATTTATAAATGGTTAAGTCAAGATTCGAGAGATGCGATTTAATACCGCTAAGTTAATTATGTGATTGTAATATGTGGCGAAAGCCCTTTATAATCTGGTTAATTTATGCATTGGTAATTGATTGATGTCTTTCATCCCAAAATATTATTTATTGGTGAACCTATGCCTAGGCTTTTATTTATTTGATAATCTCTAAATCTTATTTGCTTAGTTTAATTAGTCCCCTTAGATTAATTTACATAAAATCATACTTGTTACTTGATAATTTAAATTATAATAATTTATTAGGAATAAAAGAACATTGTTTCCCTGTGGATTCGACCCTACTTCCCTATCTATTTTAGTTAGTGGTTTTAGGAATTACTTTTGATTAGGTGATACGACTTTAGCTTGTCACTAACATGCTTTCATCCTAGAATCACACAACTTATCTTGTTGCTTACAAGCATACAACATACAATACTAATAATGAATAAATAAATTGCTTATTTAATTTGATTACGCATCGAACAAGTTTCCCACCAAACCCCTGCCCCAAATAAATTGAGGTAAACTACACCGGAAGCTAAATGGGTAGGCGAAAGTGTCACTTATGAGTGACTGGACGTACTGCGCATAATAATAAAAAGGAACATATAGCGTCTTGTACTCCCAGTAGAAGTTAAGATCAAATATAAAGTTACATAACTCCTCCCATATGTTCATACTCAAGGTATATACGTTCCAAGAGTTTTGGTACGTAATCTCTTTTACTTTACGTTGTTTTACATATTCTTAGAGTTGGTGATGACTCTTAAATTCACAACACAATCAATCAACATAAATCAGTCAAGTAATCAAACATTCCAATTTAATTTTTAAATAATTAGTGACCACATTTAATTTAATGTTGAACCCTTTTTAAAACTACCTCGGTGTAGAAACACCTTAAGCACATAAAGCACTGCAAATCCTATCCCTCGTTGTTTAGAACACCTTAAGTGCACTTAGGCACCGCAAAACCTTTTATTCCTGTGTACCAAGACACTTACTAGCTCAATTCCAATTATAGCATTAATAAAAATTATATGAAGCATAATAAAATTCCCTTTTCATAATCCAAACCAAATTAAACATTTAGTTTAATTAAACATGCTCTCAATCATGCCAATAATAAAAGTGTGGTTCATATTCAACATGCCATCATAATTAATTTCAATCAATAATTTACCTCAAATAATTCATGCTTCACAAATCAATCACCAACAACAATCCAACCAATAATTTCAACCAATACCTATCATGATACTAACTTGGAATTAATTAAACAAGTCCTACCATGCTTCTACACACTGAAATAATAACCGAGTACGCGAACGTACCTCTAATATGATCTCAAAGTCGCCACGACTACACAAAATCACTCACTTGAAAGTTTCCTACAACCCAATGTTACAAAGAGACATTAATACCTATTCATAATAAATTTCCAGCAATATATACACTCTTTAAAACACTTTTAAATCCTCTAAAACATGCTGAAAATTAATTAAAACCATCTACACACTTTTATTCCCAATTAATGGGTAATTAAAGTGCCTTCAAGAAAACTTAATTCTAGCCTCTACATAAAAATTCCAGCATTATAAAAACTCTTACACTTGTTGTAATTTAGTTTAAAAACATTAATTTCAATAGTTTTAATCAACTACAATCAAATTCCATCAATAAACATCAATTTAGAAACCTAGGGTTATCAATTTGGGGCTTTTTAATTCAAAAACCAAATCTGAAAATTATGTACATATTAAACATTATTAAAACATCATGAAATCATCACACACACCCAAAATCAATAATTAATCAAGGTTAGATTGAATTAAAAACAAAGGAGAGGTTTTTTTTTTTTTTTTTTTTTTTTTTTTTTTTTTTTTTTTTTTCTTTTTTTGGTTTGTTTGTTTGTTTGTAAAACTACAACTGCAAAGAGGGAGGGGAGAGTGGCCGGTGCGCCACCTTCTGCGGTTGCTGATGCTGCCGCTCCGTGCTAGCGGCGGCTGACTGTGGTGGTGGTGGTGGCAGCTGGCACTGGTTAGTGGTGGTGGTGTACGTGAGGGGAAGGGAAAAATTAAGGGGAAAGAAAAATAAGAGGAGAGTGAAAGAGAGTTTACCTTTGGGTATTCTCCACCTTTGAAAAAGTTTAATTTGCTCATAAGATGGGTATTTATACTCTCTCTCAAAACCCTTCCAACTAAATTTCTCTTTTTACCCTTAATGATTCCTATTCCCATTCAATTTGGCATTTGACTTTCTTTAAAACTCTAATAACTTTAAAACTTCCGTTTATAAATTAAATATGCCCCAAAAATTTCTAAATAATAAATTAAAATATTTCCAAAATAAATAAATAAATAAATAAAAATAGTTTATTAATTAAAATAAACCTTTTTAAATTATTAAAATACCATAAATAATTCATTTTTAATTATTTAAATACTTCATAAAATAATGTTTTAAATTAATATACGTATAAAAATACGGGGTATTACAGTATGTTAATCCCAATATAATTGTTGCAATAAAAGCACCATATTTCTCTTGATCATAACTTGTATTGTACTGCATTGTACTTAGACTTGTAAAAAATGTTTCACAATCAAATTAAATCAAAATCAATGAATGCTTTAGCTCACCAAAGACTTTTTGAATTTTGATAACAATGATTCTAATAGCTAACATGGTTGCTCAATTTTCTTAAAAAAGAATCACAATCTTTTCCTTACTATCCCTTCTTACCTATCCAACTAGATCTAGATAACACCTAAGTACAATGCACTCTCAAATTTTGTCCTTCTCTCAAAGTTTCAATACTTAAGTAAAAATGTCGATGTAGCATTCGTATCTTTTGAAAAAAGGTGAGGGGACGTGATTTGAGTTAACAAGATGACAACAATGTAGAAATTAGCAAAGAAGTTTATCTTTCAAAATTAACTCAATAAAAATTCAAAGGAAATGGAGTTAAAATTAATTAAACCTTACTAAAGCCGAGACAAAATTGAATGTGAAACAGGTGATTTATAGAGTTCAAAATACAGAAATATAGTTAGTTTGTAATGAATTAGGCTATTGTACATCGAGAGCTGGAAGGAAAGTAAAAGATAATTTAGAAATGGCAACATGCCAAGGGATATTACGTGAGTTTGCCTTGCAATTCAGTTAAATTGAATCAATACAACAAATGGAAGAAGGGGTTAGTTGGGGGCCAAGGGAGACAATTGTGGAGAGTTTCATTATTATTGGATTCAATTTAGATTTAGTGAGAATCTAACATAACAATGGTGGTGGTAATGCTTAATGGTATTGTAAGTATATCCTTGTTCAATGGTGCATGTTTTATGTTTTATTATTTGAGTAGGTACGTCCCAATTAAAAAAAAAAAAAAATCTTAACTAATTTATAATTTTGACAACATAAAGAAAATGGACCACATTTTATGTCCTTTATGTCAATATTTTTTTTTTTTCAAATAGATCACAGCGTAAATATAATAACCACGGTGACTTTAATTCTAGCAATCCATCAAACAATATCTTTGGGATAATAAGTTTTCCAAAAAACTATTTATCACAATGAATCTAATTTGAAGGTTTGATCATCAATCATCTTGAATGCCTTAATTAAAAAAAAAAAAAAAAAAAAATCTCTCCAAAAAGTGTGCAATGTTCTCAAGAAAACTTATATTTTATAAGATGTTATGTCCATTAAATTAATAAGTCATCTTTTGTGGAAGGTTTAACCAATTGACCCTTTTGATGAACCCCTGTCATTGTACTGGCAGCAAACCGAGAAGCAAAAACCGTTATGTTCGGAGGAAATATTAGTATCATCTAGTGCTTTATTATGGTAGTCATTGCTTTGATCATCATCCTCCATACTATAATACATGCTTTCTTTTCCTATATCTTCTCCATGCAGATTGAATATAGCAAGCCCCCCACATTCTCCATTGATGTGAATGGTATCGAAATGCGTCTTGTAAAGCTTTACTATGGAGACGCTTAAATTGCGTGGAGAAAAATCGAAGATCTTCTGCTCCAAGAGCAAAGGCTTCAACTTCGCTTAGTGCTTTTACTGTTCTTGTGGAAGAAGGAAGACATATGTTTGTATTGGGTAGTAATGCCCATGTTAACAATTCTTCTCCACAAAAATCACCTGGTCGTAAGGTGATCGAGTTGAAGAATCCAGACCTTCCACCACCGGTTGTGGAGCTTTCAAGTTGCCCTCTAATGATGAAAAGCATTTCATCTACAGGATCATCTTCTCTGAATATATATGTGCCTTGCGTACTCAAGGTTGCAACAAGACGCTCACAAATAGCATCAAGCAAAAGCTCATCCATTTTTGAGAAAAATGGTACCTATCAAATTCAAAAAAAAATAACATCATGTTAAGTTTAAACTCTGTGAAAGAAGTGAGGAATAACTCTCATTAACTACTTTAGAAGAATCACATTTATCATTCTTGTCAAAATATAAACATGTAAAAAAAAAAAAAATTCTAACTAAGAGTCACGCCATTTTAATATTATTTAACTCTTGGTTAAAATATCCAACTTGAAGCTATTTACAATAGATTTTTAATTTATGAAGATAACCCATACACATTACACAGATTACTAGCTACAGGGTTAAAACACAAACTCTGAAATGGATTATTTCAAATTAAACACTATATTGGTAATGTAAATGAGGTGATTTTATATGGTTTTAGGTGCATTGAAAATTTTAATTTTATGTGTACATATGGACATAATAGCATGTGATGTCAATTTTTTAATGGGACATTGCATTTTTCCATGAACAAATCATGAGCAAGTCAAATCCTCATGACACAACACTCATATTTAGACAGGTAGTGATTTTTGTACCATGAAAAACTAATATAACATAATTAATAGTAGGAAATAGATAAATGTATCAAAAAAGACATACACGTCGAACAAGGTTAAGGCATAGATGACGTTGTACTTCACGACGCAAATCCAAAGGCAAAGAGCACAAAATAGAGGCTTCATTAACCCCCCTTGTAGCTAGCCAATTATATTGAACAAATCGATGAACTCGTTGTTGCAATGCCGGAGGCAATTGACGATGTCTCATCCACTCTTCGGTGTCTCTTCGTTTTATTCGCCATTCTTCAACACGGACCGTCAACGATTGTAGATATGTCTTCAATCAAAATGCAACTTATTGTAAGTATGCAAATTTTGCAAATATGATTCGATCCACTACAACAGTCATATTTATGTACTATTTATTATATGTAAAAGAAGTTATTTCTTTTTAAATTTATTTACTATAGCTCAACTTTTATTGAAATATTCTCAATCCTTTGAATAGTTTCTTTTAGCAATAGGAATTAGAAAATATCATTAAAATTCAATATTAAGGGTTTAAAGGCTAAAATTAAAATAAATCAAGTTTTTTTTTTTTTTATATCATTTATAATCAATTGTAAGTTAACTAATTTCCTTTTCATTTTTTATTTTACTTTGCAAAATATTGTATAATCTAAGTTGATTTTATAGTCTGCTTTACCATAACTAGTGATACAATTTAAATACACACTAGGTGAAATTCATACTCATAATTAGGAGACTTAGTTCACTTTGATAAATGATTTTTCATAAATTTTCTAGCTATAAAGATGAAAATATAATGAATAAGAATTATTTACAAAATTAAATAATTTCTTAACCAAAAAGGATGGAAATAATGATTCTTAATCAAATGATATAAATTTTACAAAGGTAAAATAATTCATTTCTTAGGTAAATATGTTGATTATTGCCTAACATTTTGAATGTTCCCCTTCTTAAATTTGACCCTCTTTTATTCTTATTCTTTTAACAAGATGGACATCAATAGTATCCTATAACATATATGTTGTGCTAAAAATATGTTGCTTTCAAAAGATATTTAGGTTATAAACATGCATTAGAATCATTATAAAGAAACTTGATAAAAATAAGATGGACATCAAAACCTGCATATTTCCGATCAAGAGGCAGAACAAAAATAATCCCCCGATACAAACACATATCGCAAAAAATGTTTCCCCAATAAAGGTGGTTGTGTCTAGATTTTGCCCGTAAGAACTGCAAGAGAACACTTACACTTGTTAGTGGGATTTGTAGGGACAACAATTTCTATTGATATGTAAAAATATTCGATTTATTACATACAAATATGATAGATAAGATATTTGGATTAATTTGGTGGATTATTGTTGAGGTATAACCTTCCAAAGCAGAACATGTGGTGTCCCATGTTGATTAAAAAAAAAAAAAAAAAAAAAAAAAGAAGAAGAAGAGGAGGAGGAGGAAAAAAAATACGTTATAAGGTTAAAGGGGCTACTCCTATTCTCATATGATTTTGAAATGGAAATCTCCTATGACCTTGTAAAGAAGATTCTCCCTCTCTCTCTTCCCCTTGATACAAGATGATCAGGTCGTATAAAATGATATCAAAGTTAGGCCCACAATTAGACACTTTAACATGTATAATATATTTTGGACCAAATTGAATTAGAATCATGTGTGGGGGAGGCCGCATGAGATATCACACATGGTTGTATTAAAGGGATCTGAAAGGTATAACCTTCCCACACAACACAAGTGAGTTCCACATTGATAAAAAAATAAATTAAAGAAAAAAAGACTTAAACACTTTATAAGGATAAAAACTACTCTTCATGTTGTCATTGATTTTGGGATGAAACCTCTTTTAACCTTTAGATTTTACATTAATTGTGCAAACTATGTACTATCTTTGTTTCTTAAAAACCTTCTTATTTAATTTTCATGATATCTAATGTACATCTTTAGCTATTATGAAAACTAATATATTGAATATACTTTAGGGATGATATTATTTTAATATACTTATTATAAGGGTTATTCAACAATCTAATATTGGACCGAAGACCAAAAATACAAATCATGAAACTCGGGAACTGGACCAAAATTACTAAGATCGAACTCAGACTTGATTGGAAACATCATTCCAAAACTTGAATCGGGCTGATTTAAGAAATTTTTTCATATTTAAAAATACTTTTATTATGATATGAAAAATAAGGGAAAAAAAATGTATGAAAGAAAAACAATAGCCTAATACCTTTGTTTGAAAGTTTAATATAAAAAACTTACAAAATTATAATAATCATAACATATTGAATGTAAAAGTTAAAAGTTCTACAGGTTTATTTGCATAATTTAAAACAGTAAGGAATTATTACAACTATTATATATGCCAATTTCGTGATAGGAAGATGGTGCAACCAAATTAAAACGACAAAAATATATTATTTAAATAGCGATAGAAAATATTCATAATATTTCTCAATAATAAAGTTGTATAATCATTAAATCACATACCTTAAATTCTTGAGCCCAAACCATAGGCAATATAGATATTTCCTAACAAAATTTGAGGAACCAACTCCACTGGTAAAAGCTTCAGCAAACATTCCAAATTTAAAAGAGGCATCATCATTTCTTGGGTCACAATTAATGACCAAATTAGTATTATTATACCAATATTGTCTATCAACATCTGGAACTGTTGAACAATCTAGATATTTAGGTAAGCATGCAGGAAATCTTTTTTTTCTCTTCATTACATTGTGCTCTCCAACATGAGTATTGCCGGCTTATTGCTGCCGTATACCATATAGATCCCAAAACCTGCACTATCAAATTATACTAACAATCAGCTGGATTTTGTAATTAATATTCCCTCCGTCTCATAATATATAGTGTTTACATCTTTTTTTTTTTTCTCGTTTGTTGTCCATGGTTATACTTCCTCCTTTTTTACTTGACCCGCTTTGACTTTTACACTATTCACTAACCTTCCTTCAATCTTCTCTTGTGAATTATGTTTAAGGAAAATATATTCATGAGATCGAGATCTTGTTAGAATCGTCTCATTAAGTATTATCATAATATAACGTTTATACTTTTTTACTTATGCAGAATCAGAGTTATTGATGGTTAAAATTTTGCATTGGCAATTGTAATAAATGAAACAAGTCAAGTAAAAAATTACATAAGAAGTATATTACATTTCTAGTTTAGGAAATGTTCCCACTAATGTGTTTAATTGACTAACACACTCTCTTACACAAATACATAATTTTTCTTGGACAAGAAATACGTAAATTACTTGAATAACTTTTACACATCTATGAAGTACAATTCATAACACAATCCTACTCAATTTGTTTTTTTGGACTTTCCCGATAAGCAAAAGTTATAGGCATGGTTGTACCATGGTACAACCAAATATAGATTAGAAATATTCCTATCTATCCTTTAAATAGAAAATTCAATTATCTCATCACTATCTTATAACATATGTATATGTGTTATAAAAAGTGTAAAAACTATTTTTAAATGAATGGAATATGTATTTACTAGTAAAATTAAGAGAAAAGTACGAAGTTTGATAAATATTTAGTTGATCATGCTTACATGACTAGCTAGCATGTAGAGAAGAAGATTATAAGCTGCTCCCGACCAAGCAGTCTTAGCAACAACTCCTGTAGTTTTGATGATTCGCTTATTTAATGGGAACATTAGAAAAAACCTAGGAATATATTGAAATAAGACAATGAGTGAGAGAGTATAATTTGTTTGATCTGCTTTTGTTCTCTTCATCTTTGGTATGATGAACCAATTCATTATCTGCATATACATATTAAATCATCAATTAAGATTGAGGGAAATTTTGATTTAAAAAAAAAAAAAAAAAAAGACAAGCATATAGAGAATTAAATTAAATATGCATGTGACTCTTAATCTTTGCTAGTAAATGCCCAAGCATGCCTTTGAAAACTATAAATAATTAATTATTTACTGAATTTAACAAAAAAGACAAATTTATCGATATTATTGGAAACTAATTTGTGAAACTATATGTATTCTTATTAATCAACAGACGAAATATTTTGTATTAACATTAACCACACAATCATAATATAAAGATAAGTGTTAATGTTAATTAAATTACATTAATAGTTCTTTAATTATTTTGCTTATTTAGCATGTTCTTGTTTTTTTTTATTTTTTTTTTATTTTAATAATTTAGTTATAAATAAGGTTAAGAGTTCAAAGTTTGTAAAAGTCAAGTCAAAGCTTAAAACACCATGTAACATCAAATCGATCTTTGTACACTAAGAGATGGAACTCAATACACCTCCAAACTTATTTAATGGAAAAAGTGACCTCTAAACTTCGTGTAAATGCCAATGATATCAATCTTTGATAAACTCATCATAGTAAAGTTGTTTGTTGGATGAACAAGTGTTGCTAGTACTAAAAACATACATGATATAAATCACTAATCTTAGATTTGCAAAAAACAACTTCTGTGAAAATCTATCAAATGTTTATCAAAACTCTTATAAATATGTAGCCACTTACATAGTTTCACCCATATTATTCAATAAATTTATAGTGGACGACACTTATTTTTATTTTTTTTTCTTTCTATAGCTAGTTCTTTGTGTAGATAAAATTCGAATTTATGTCACTTTGGATTGAAAAAAAATCATATTACAAAGGTACATTTAATATCATTTTCATTTAGTTTTTGATTTGTAATTGTGAAACTCATATGTTTTAGATTGAACAATGAACCTAATGTTATTTTTACCTATAAAAATCATGTTGGATTTGAAAAATGACAACTAAAAACTAAAAACTACTATTTGTAGATCCCCAAAAACTGAAAACAAAAAGTGATGACAGATAAGCCATCAACTATATATTACTAATGTTCTTATTTGTTGGTGGGAGGGAGTTCTCAAGTATGGCTTAAGGTCTCCAAAATGGTTGAAACAACTTTGCCTCTAAAATTGACATTTATGTTTGATACATGTTATGCAACTATTTTTAATAATTACACACAAATCATGATTCATTGAAAACATTTCATGGGATATGAATTGATTATAAAGATTGTAGTTTAAACAATATATTACATCATTTATTTTCTTTCTAAATCTATATTTAAATTTTATAAAAAACCACAAGATTTCTTACATAACTTGTACAAGCACAACTCCCAAAATAACAACTTAAATTGTTTAGATAATGTTGTCAAAAAAAATGATAACAATCATTAAAAATACTTTTATAAGGATACGTATAATAATTTCAATTTTTATTGATACATATAGAAGATACTACATGTGTAAAGCTACTAATATCATACCTGAGGAAGAGGTAAAGAAGCAGCAAAATCAATGACAAAATCAGACTTGAGATATTTCCATGCGATCTCATTAGGATCCATTACCAACTCTCCCCTCCCAAAAACCCTTGACCTTGGAGAAATGAAACCAGTGCGGAATTTTATTGCAATGTGAAGGACGTAGAAGAGGTCAGCAAGGGTACGAAACACGGTAACAGATGCAAGGAGGGAAGTGTCAGAGGAGAGGCATGCGTGATCGGAACCAACTGATGGGAGAAAGAAATAAAGAGGATCGATAAATAGTGCAATGACACAAGTAAGGAGGAAAATATAATTCCATTGTGTTACAATGTATGAGTTTGGGTCTAGGACTTGGTATCTCCATAATAGATGATAGTGGAGTTTTTGATCATCTAAGGAGGAGGAGGCGGTTGCTATTGGGTGTGAGAGCCGACGAAGCCCACGAGTTGAAAGGATTTTGTTCATGGAAGAACGAAAAAATTATAGAGAAGAAAGGGAAGGAAAAGAAACATTCATGCACAATGAAACAAGCAAAGACTAAATTTAAGATTGTAAATTTCGATGCAGCATATAATGTAGAATTAAAAAAAAAGTATTATTAGTTCATAAACTTCAGAAAAAAAATGAAAGCCAAACAAAAAAATAAGATAAAATTTATTTACAATAGATTTGAGAAATTTATGAAGCTCTCTATATTGTACCCTCAATAATGATCACTAGACTTTAATCAGAATAAATGGATGATTTATAACGTCAATTGGAATTTTTTTTTTTTTTTTTTTTCAGAATTTAAATTTTGTAATATGTGGGTGTGTGTAGGCAAAGATTGAGAGATAGAAATAGCTAGAGAGAAATTACATCCTTTTTGTGTATAGAAAGGGAGCGAGAGTTCCATGAAAATTAAGGGTTTAGAGAAAAACTAGGACAAGAATCTCAAAATAAAAAAGGTAGTTAGTATATTTGACTTTATTATGGAACTTTGAATAACAATTTAATTATTAAGATCTAATGATAATTGAATTACCACTTTTTTCTTAATATATTATATCTTTTTATTTTCATGTCCCATCTTACTTGATGGTTGTTTGTATATACGAGGCTATTAGAAAAATTAATATAAAAGTACCAAGAACATTTTATCCAATATATAGGAAATGTGGATGTTATCTAGTTTAGTTGACTAACATGTTATGGGTGATACACACCTAATATATTTAATTTCGTCTATATCGTTGCCCTTTAAATAAAAAAATCATATAGGAGTTGATACAAAAACATGAATTAGCAAAGGTAATATAAAGGATATCATATACTATATCTTAAATTTCATTGGATTATATTTCATTTTTACATAATGTTCTTAAAAAAAAAAAAAATTGTATTATTTTATTTTATTTTATTTTTTGACAGGATATTGTTTTTCATCCTAACAATATGAAATTTAAAAATAGGTATGGATATTTTAAAAATGATAATTAATTAATTAGATAAAGCTTAGTAGTAGTGAATTGATATTTCAAATGACAGTTTATATGAAATAAAATAACTCCTCAAATGTATTTTTTGTTCTGTTTTTTAATTTTAAATTTAGTTTATGGGACATTTGGTATGTGACCGGGAAGGAAGTTGGAGATCAAAGTGTAGGATAGGTGTTGGGAATCGTTGTAAGTCATGAAAATGTTTCAATAATACATTGTTTGGTAGTGATGATAATGTCTAAGAGATAATTAGCAAGTTTACAAAAGAATTTTTGTTAATAACATAATTCTTCCTTCCTTTTCATTAATGACAATTTTATCATTTTGTTTGTTTTTCAATTTTCCATCCCTTAATATAGCCCCTTATTAGTTGGTGGGGATGGGATGATTTTATCACCAACCCCCACATAAGAAATGTTTTGTGATCCTCAACTTTCGATATGGGAGTGCCATAGGTACCTCAGCTTTCCTTATATGTGGGTTGATACTCCAACCTAGTAGAGGTCTTTTGGATAGCACTTCTGTCCTATACCAAAGTAAAACATGCGGGCTAGGTCTAGAGAGGACAATATCTACTATTGGGTTCATGTTGACCTTGGCCGTTACACAAAAAATTTAAATTCGTGCCTTGAGTATCCTTATTTCTTACTTGAAACCCTACTTGTTTCGGGGTTTTCTGATGTCCTGCGGGAGAGTTACAATTCCGAGACTGGAACCGGGCGCCTGTACCTGCAAAATAACGGAGACTCCTGGGAGCTCCGCCTCCAACGGTCAAGTTAGTACCTGATTAAGGAGTAATTAATGCGGAAATTAAAGAGATTTGGTCTCTCTAGGTGAGAGTGTTTAATGTAGGTAATCTGCTTTGTTAGCGAGATCAGCCGGTTATTACTGTGTGTAATTAATGTGTTTTTTCCGTAATGTTTCTGCTCTCTTTTTGTAATCCCCCTTAATGAGGATTAAGGGAGGTATTTATAACCTTGGGAAACGTGCCCATCCTAGGTTTAGGTTAACCTAGGGCCGGTTGGGCTTCCCTCGGAAGTTGGGCCTGGGTGGCCGGTTTCTCCATTAGGCATGGAGTATGCCACATGTCTTGACATAACAGGTCCAAGGTGGACGAATAAGCGCGTGCCACGTGGGAAGCCCTGACTGTTCCAACTGGGGGACACTTGGCAGGACCTGATTGGTCCACGTGGCGCATTCCGATTGGCGGGAGAAAAATCCCCTAATCATTTGCCCCTCACAGGTGGCACGTGATTGGTCACGTGTTACCTGTGACAGGTGTCGCACTGTAACAGGCGACGGCCTGCTACAGGTGTCAGTCGGCGAAAGGGCGAGAGATTTTCCCGCCCAAATTTTGAATTCTGAAAGTGACCCTTCGCCTTCTCACTTCGCCTATATAAGGGAGAGTTGTCTTGAGTCATTTTCACAATTTGAGAACTTTTTGAGAACATTCGGACCCCTGAACTTGCTCTGACATTTTGGACCTTTTCTGCCTACCGCCTGTTCTGACAAGCCGACTGCACAGGATTTTCAGAACTCATCAACCGTCACTCGTTCAGGTAACTCAGTTCTCTTATTCTTAATTTTCTTTTTATTTTCTGAAATGGCACCACGGAAGCACACGACACGACCTAGGTTAGTGATCAGCCGGTCACCGGGGACGGCTGAATCTAGGACTAGGAGTGCCGCCTGCCCTTTTCCGGACCCATCTTTGCCCTTTATACAAAGCTCGACTGTATCTGTGTCTATGCAGAGCAGGATGGCCAGAACGAAAAAGACAGCTAGGATCTCAAATTCAGACGGCTCCTCCCACAGGGTGCCGCTTAGTGAAACATCTGACCAGGCGCCAGATGTGGAAGTGAAACAAGGCGGCCTGGATGCCGGCAATTCTGTGGGGGGAGTCATAGTGACCCCTTCCCATTTAACAGTTAACAAATCTGCTCCTTTTCAAAGAGAGGAGGCGGGCCCCTCCGGGAGAGGGGAGGAGTCGTCCTCTTCGGACTCGTCGGAGGACGATTCCGAGTCAAGCTCTTCTGGCCATGCTTCTTTGGGTACAGAAGAGAAAAACAGCCGCCTGCAAGAGGCGAGACTTTCTCACGCAGTTGAGAAGGGGGACAATTGGGCGGAACCATCCGCCTCTTACCGAGAGCTAAATACCCCCTACTACTGCACGGTACCTCGGGGTCGAATCACAGCCATGCAAGAGAAAGTGGAGAGCTTTATTGCAAACCACACCATGGGCCCCGATTTTCTAGTGTTTGTGCCGGATCCAGAAGACACAGTCGTCTGGCCGGCTGGTTCCAGTTATGATAGCGCCTGCTTTGGCTGCTACGAGGCGGCCATCAAGGCAGGGCTTCGCTTCCCATTACATCCGGCTGTTCAGCGGATTTTGGATGGGTATGAGTTGGGGTTATGGCAGTTAGCCCTAAACTCCTGGGTCAACGTACTCGGCTATGTGGCCGGGTGCGAACTGCACGGGGTGGAGCCGAGCTTCGAGGCTTTCGCCCATATGAACTATCTCAGCCGGACCCCTAAGACAGGCGGTACCGGCTGGTATCAATTGACAAGCCACAGGGGCTACCTCATGACAAGAGGTAAAGCAAACAAGTGGAAGGACTGGCGGAGCACCTTCCTCATCATTGAGAGTTCAGACATTGAGCTGAACAAGCGCTTCAATAGGTGGAACAGGAATCCGCCCCTTCTTGCAGGCGGCCGTAGCATGCCGCCTGTTCCCCCCAAGGCTAAGAAAGAGATCCTTGATAAAGGACTCTTTAAAGTAGAGTCGAGGGTCGACTCTACATCAGGGGTACGAGAGCAAGTACCCCTGCACTGCGTCCCGAGCTTCAAGTGGCTCTATGACGAGTACTTTTTGGCCGCCTGCGGCCTCAGCAGTCGGTGCTCAAGAGGTAGTCGGCCTGTCGAATACTCTGTTGTTCCATACATTTGTTGTTTATCTTTTATTAACTTTGCTGTTTGTTTTTGCAGCTGACGCCATGAGCAAAACCACCGCCTCCAAGACTGCGGCGGCCATGTTGCGGGCCTCTATTATGCAACAAGCTTCAACCGACTCCCCCAAAAAGGGGGCACCCTTGGTGAGCTCCGAACCTTTCACCCTCTTTTTGGAGTGTTTATGCATATACTGACTTTTTTCTTCTGTTTTAGACGGGTGCTCCAAGAGCTTCATCTTCCCAACAGCCGGACCCCAAGGCCCGGAAGACGACTGTTGGGAGCTCTCCTGGTTCTGCCAGGAAACAGGTGGCGGCTGAGAAACAGCCGGCCACTTCTTCTAAAACTCCAACTGGGCCGCCTAGAGGTATGAAGTTGTCCTTGTAAATTTTAGACTTGCTCCCTTTTTTACTATGTCTAATCCGGTTGTTTATGCTTGATGCAGCCGGCCCCCAGGAGCCTGACTTGGTAGAGATGGCCAAGTCTATGATCAGGGCAGTTCCTCCAGCTGAAAGGGAGGCGGTCAGGGGTGTCGGCACCCTTGACCTTGACGGGATTGCAGGGGTCCTTGCTGAGGTATACTTAGCATATTTTTGAGTATTTGAATTTCTGGACGCCTGTTTTATTTTTTTTTGGAAACTGACGCCTGTTTCTTTGTACTTAGGCCCTGCTCCGAGTGAACGGCCTTCGCAAGCCGCTTGATCGGAAGAACAAAGAGGTAAAGGCTGCAAAAGCTATGGCCGCCTCTGACTGTGATAAGGCAATGTTTCAAATTGCCCAAAATGAAGTTCTGACCATTGATATTCTTTATTATCAGGCGCAGGCTACCGCCGCTGTTCGGGCTCAGTTAGAGGCGGCCCAGAAGAAGAATGACGAGCTGGAGGCGACCATCACAAATCTCAAGGCCGAGCTGAAACCTCTTCGCCTGAAAATGTACTCTTACGAAGCCATGGAGAAATCCTTGGCCAGCGTAAAGGAACGCCTGGTGACCCAGGAGAAGAGTCTTACCCAAGAGCTTTCGGAAAAGGCCGAGCAAGAGAAGAAAGAGCTGGTCCGGGAGATGATGGAAGACTCCGCTCAAATCCAGCGCATGACCTGGGGCCGCCTCTTCCCCAGTGCCGACTTTGCCTCTTGGGAAAGAACGTACCGCCAGTGTTCGAATACATATAATCAAGAGATCCTGGCGGCTGCTGAAGAAGAGGCGTTGGAGGAAGCGTTGGAGGAGGAGGAGCCGGTAGTGGCGCTTGTGCCGCTTGGGGGTATGGCATCAAAAAAGGATGTAGCTGAAG